TGCGCGCCCGATGTATTCATGGCCGGCGGCGGCGTGCGCGCGGGCGGGGGCGGGGGCGGGGGCGGCGCCGCCCGCGGCGCTACCGAGAGGCGCAGTAGATCCGCCGAGGGATGTCTGTCTTCTGGTGACGGGGCCGGTCACAATTCATATCTGACGGGTCACCACGTCTCGGGGCGATCAGCTGTTGAACCGAACGGACCTCGCGAAAATAGTGAAACAGTCTGCCAAGACCCATTTACAATACGGACACGAGGAGCGACAAAAAGTTCAGCTGCGCTTGTATAACGCAGCTGCGGCTGTGAATGAAGGCGTGCTGTTATCTCACCAGTGCAGTGCCAGGCGGCGCACCTGCTGCTTCTCCCACGGGGCCTCGCACCTAGATACAGCTGAATGAAAGTGTGCAACGTGCGTGTTTTTCATTGGGATATTTCCCTCATTGATGTTGACCGCTAGGACCTACCTGCACAGTGCTGGATAACCATTTAGGTATTCCGCGTTATGGAAACTGTTGTGATTTTCGCGCGTTAACTATTTGACAGATATTTTAAGTCCACTCTTTTCTACGTGTCAAAGTGAATGATATTTCTGTCACACCGAAGTCCGATCCATTTCTGATCATTACAAAGTAAAATTAATTATTTTGCCGACCGACGAATCGATAGTATGGGAATATGGTCGTTTATCGCAACGCATGCAACGATAAGCTTAAAAAAAAAACAGCAAACTTCTTTCCGACAGCCACCTGTATACTTAATCAAGTCAAAGATGCATAGATGCACCATGATTCTGTTTCTTCCCCTTGGCATGTTTTCGATGTCAACCTTTATAACAATTCTACATTTATAGGTACCTACCCCTGTCGTCTCCCACATGCTTCCGAATTAGGCAAAAACAAACTAAAACAAAGCACGTTTAGCCGCGCCTCCTTATCAGCCTCAAGCCGCTGTAGTAATGAGCACGGTCGAAAATCGACATTTCCTTATTATCGTGTGTATATTTAATTGGCTGCGACTTTTTTAGTTTGTTATGCTTCATACACCGTGCACTCGGAACGCCCACTGCAGAAGGAACGCTGTCGCTCCGAGCGCCTTTTTTATGCTGCGGGTTAGCGAGCGCAGTCTGCAAGGCGTCTCGATTAGCAGTCGCCAGACGCCGATAGATGGGAATCAACTGTTAGGTATTTCAAATCGGTAGAATTTCCTTGATTCTGATAAGATTTTTTGGTTCATCTTATATTTATATGATGTGTTTTTAGCGTTTTCAATGCTCGATATGCATAGATTGAAGAAGGCTCACCTTTCATTTTACTTTTAACATTTCTGCATATGCGTACAATTAACACTGATGAATATTTAATCACGAATGTATAAAACATCAAGCAATTCAGATGTACCAATATGGATATTGTATCATCATTAATCCTATATATTTATTGACCTTTGAATTTTGCACTGCCCTATGACCAGGGCTGCGGAGTCAATGGAATTTCGGCGACTCCGATTCCGACTTCGGCTTTCAAAAACCAACTCCGACTCTGACTCCGACTCCGGGCAGAACTTTCGACCCCGACCGACTCCATCTCCCGACTCCGAATCCGGTTTTCAAAATTGACTCAGACTCCGACTCCGGGCAGACCTGTAGACTCCGACCGACTCCGACTCTGACTCCGCAGTCCGCAGTCCTGCCTACGACTCATCGACCTGACGTGCATGTGACACCTTTGACCTATATGGAGCAACGTTATCAGAACTCTCATTTGACTTCATATCCAAAGCGCACCATCGATTTCACCACTATCGATCCCAAAATCATCGGGTCACGGAACCCCAGCGCCCCTCACCATTCTTTGAAATATAATAATCGTTTCATCCATACATGGCAGGGCACCCCTTCTGTGTCTCACGGTCTTACGTTTCATATCCACACTATGACGAACATATCACGTTACCTATGTTAATTATGACCAATACTAAGAAACCCATGTGAGAAAAATGCCTAGTTTAGGACAATGCCAGTGAGTGAATTGCATCATGCAAGAACGTTGCATTCCTCCTGGCAGCTCTGTACAATACCCGTGCTGCCTCGGCCACAGGCGCCGGTGCCGGGCCGTGGTTCCGTGCCCCGATGGGCGGCGATATACCGCCGCGGTCTCCGCCGGGACACCTGCGCTGGGGGCGGCTCGGACCGACCAGACGGCCGTGTGCGGATCAGACTGCGCTCCGGCCGGCCAGTCGTGTTTACACGGCTCATCTGATGAGCCCGTGACGTCACTGCGGGACGGGATGACATTCCGAGCGGCACGAGCGGCACGGCACGGGCGGGAATCGGGTCCATACATGTCTATTACTTATGCATGTACCGTCTCCTAAGAATAAGAAAGGGGGCACTGTAGTGACCTGAGCCAGACGGCTGGCCAAGACAGGTCGCTGAAAATGCACTGCAGTGCAGTCCATTAGGTACAAAGTACAGACACTGCAGTGCAGATATCTGTGGTGCGCTATACGGCGCACTGTAATGTAGACACTGCGATGTGCCGTCTGCCGAGTGCAGTACGATTCGCTGCCCCGTCCCGTCACGGTCCGTCGATCGGCCCTCCGTCCGACCGAATTTGACCGTCACCGCAGCGGACGACTTGCGTCGCTCCTGTGACGTATCTCTCTGTGTTAAACGTCAGGTGCTGGACGGAGCCGATACCCAGAGAAGAGATGGCCTTTTCGTGTGACGTGCCGCGATCGAGCCGCTCAGATTCCGGAATAATGAGGTGAAAATACACAGTGGTGTAAGCCGGCGGGCGAGAGAAGCAGGCCCTGAGCTATCTGCTCGTGCATGTCATCAATAAATTAAACAAATGGTGTCACGAATGCCTTTAGTGTTTTGTAAGCTCATTCATGGGCATGATGTCGGCACCCATGGTATGCATTACCATATGTGGAAATGGATGTGTATTTTTGTTTGAGGCCACTGACGAGGGCCTGGTTAGCGCTAGGTGCGGCGCCAGAAGGGGGAGCGCCGGAGGGAGATAAATACAATGTCATTACAACCAGACACCTTCAGCTCAGTCCTCAGATAGCCGGGGTCAAACGGAGGTCATTATAAATGAGAAAGAAAATGAAGTTGTAGACGATCCTCAAGACTCGATTTGAACATTATCTGGATCAATTGGTAAACCCTCGTAGGCTCACGGAATAAATGTGAGAGCCAAATGATCGTGGAAATGAGCCCTAATGGCGCTGTTTGCGTACTTTCGAGATTAGGTACAGTTTCCCAGCTCGACTCTTCTGGGGCGAGTTGTTTGCCGGTGACAAACGCCACTGTGTTTTATTTCCAGTTGGTAGTCTGTGCCGCAATACATCACACGTTACATTGGTAGGCTGTGCCGCACTACACCACACTCAGTGATAGGCTGTGCCACACTATAATACACCAAAGTCAGTGGTAGGCTGTGCCGCAATACATTCACACATTCAGTGGTATGCTGTGCCGCAGTACACATACACTTCACTCAGTGGTAGGCTGTGCCGCAATGCATCACACGTTACATTGGTAGGCTGTGCCGCACTACACCACACTCAGTGGCAGGCTGTGCCGCACTACACCACACTCAGTGGCAGGCTGTGCCGCAGCCCGCAATACACTACACTCAGTGCCGTGGTAGGCTGTGCCGCAATACACTACACTCAGTGCCGTGGTAGGCTGTGCCGCAATACACTACACTCAGTGCCGTGGTAGGCTGTGCACTACATGGAGTGTGCGTGTGTGTGGGGGGGGGGGGGAGAGGCATTTGGGGCCCGCGACCTTATTCTTAGGTCAAAAGTGGTATGCTTGGCCCCAAACGATGGCGCTTTGCCAGATGGACACTTTTGAACCGGTCGACATCTTTCGGTTGACGTCAGCAACACCTACCAGTAACAGGTGCCGGGGGTCTGCCCATCCTCTCAGTCTCCGCGTGTCGGTACAGTAAACCACCCATGAATTCCTCCATGTAGGGCACAGTCCGTGCAGTCAGCAGTGCATTAACAGCGGAAGTGGCCCGCAGGAACCACCCACGTCCCTTTTGGGTAGGCCGGTAGGCCGGTAGGCCGGTGATCTCCAGAACTGGCCGTCTCCCTTAGATTGTATCCTGACCGTGCAGGAGTGGGGAGTTACCCCAGTTCCGTTCTCAGTATCAGACCGCACGGCACGGGTCCATTAAAAGTCCGCATTTTCCGCCGGCACCGGCCGCGAGGTCAGATTAGGCCAAACAACAACAGCCAATAGCAGCGAATTGGGCAACCGGAAAACCAGACACGGACCGCCGCAATACCGGCCAATCGCACTCTCAAAATACTCCCGCAGCCCCAACACAAACAGCCCGGGAGCACAAAGCCTTAGCGGGCCGGTGGGTATCGAGACCGGGGATCTGCGTTCTTGGAAGCGCCCCAGGATCAGCTGGCGGCCCTGGCGGGTCATGGCAGGGTCGCTGGCTGCTCCGTAAACTGTGCCACGGGTAAACAGAGTACCGTGAACTCCGGCACTGTTTGGAGGTGGTAGGCAGTGACCGCGGGCGAACCACGCAATGACATTCACTCTGCCGTCCAAAGGAAAAAACGCATATGTCGGGTCAGGTCATGACCCGACACATGCGTTTTTGCCTTTGGACGGCAGCACTGCGCAGAGTCGCGGTAGGGGAGGAGGGGGGGGGGGGGGTGTTTTTAGCGGTTGTAACGGCTCGATGGAGCTATGATTTCGGAGTTTGGTTCGCTAAAAGCTTCATAAACCATACATATTACGCGCTGACCACTGATGACATCGAATAACCCGTCCATTGTGTACCAACTGCCCACCAAAGGATCACGGTGATCGTTTGTGACAGCACCCAGCCGATTAATTCACTGATTGAGCATTTATGACGATCGCACCGGTTGTAAACATCACTCGGTTAATTTCTCGTCTCCGCTTCGGTATCCATTCTCCGAGCCATAACTCTCCGGTTTTACAACAGCCGCGACAATACAAATCCATTTGTACCACAATGCGAAAACAACATTTGTATTCAAGTCGCACACGTGGAACAGACACTGGCAAAAGTAGCCCCGATGGGTTCAGGGACATGCCTTAAGCCCAGCCGCGAGTCGCACACAGGGCGCATCCTCCCTCCTCAGGTCAACGAATGATATACGAGGACAAAATCGCACATAGTGAGACGGTATGTGACTTGGTGCTCTGGCTTCCGTCAAAACGACCCCAGTGGTTTGCGATACGACGCAGCGCAACGTTGAAGGTCCACCCATGGTGCGACGCAGCATTTGGGGTCTCCTGGGAGGTCTCCTGGAATGGTGACGACACAAACTAGGAAGCCAAATGTTACGAGAAAGACAAGCGCTACAATATGAGCGATGGAGTTCAAGTCGGTTGATGAATGACAGAGGTCATGAACTTGTTTTTTTCATACAATACGTAAGCGGGCGAACCAAATACGGCCAAAGCATGCGGATCTGAAACGACTCTCGATAACTGAAGGAAAAAACAGCCTTATAGAGTCTCAGCCCTCATGTCAATTCATTTCACAGATTTTATCGTCGACGTGGAATTCCATTTTTTCAGTCATCTCATATAGCCTCTCACACTGTCCTCTCCCTCACTCCCCTGCCCTCCCGTGCCCTCTGTGCCCTCCCTCCCCATAACACACTACACTGAAGTCAGCGCCGCCTTATCCAGCACACTCTGCAGCGAGCTGGGCACCCACACTCCGCCGTCGTTCACGAAGATCACACTCCTGTCCAGGTAGATACTTAGGCCGCCGCAGCGCAGCACTGGCTTGCCCTCGTGGAACTTGCCCGGCAGCGGGTGGAACAGGATGCCGCGCTCCTCGCAGCGGCGCTCCAGCAGGTCCCGGAAACCGATCGTGACGGAGCCGGAGGCGGTGCGGATCGCAGCCGTCAGGTCCTGAGGAAGGTGACGGGAGGAGTTAGGGGGAATTCAGATACACTAAGGCTGTCCCATACGACAGAAGGTAGGCCTCATTGAATATGTGATCATTTCTAGTAACAGCAATTAAGACATTTTTGTTGTTTTGTTGTTAAAACCCGGATGTTTACCGGCTAATTAAGTGATTGAAGTCGATGTGTTTGCTATACAACTCCTAACGGTGCGTTAGAATTACTCGTCCGAAGAATACAGATGTCATTCTATGTTCCGCTTTACGAGCCATTAGCAAACAATCAACACACACACTTTCCTTCCCTGAAACGTCACCATGAGACCACCCGCCCCATCTATCGTTTGCAACCCCTACCCGTACTTCCCCCACCATCCGGTAGAGGCGCTGCCCGTCACCTACCTCCCGGTTTCTGATCTGGGACGGCGTGGGCGCCGGCTGCGGCGGCGGCGGCGGCGTACTGCTGGCCAGCAGGTGACTCAGCTCCTGGTAGGAGACCGCCTGGCCCGGGTTACTGGCCGCCCGGTTCATCAGCTGCAGACCAGTGTTCAGGTGCTCTGAGGGGAGCGGAGCGGTGAAATTAGACCAGCGAAATGGATCAAAAGGCGGTCCTATGCTCTGTCGTGAACGAACGCTAGCTGGCGTGCCGATACGACTGTGAAGCAGCATGAAAAAGTGATGCAACATGGCCTTGGTGCTTGTGCACGTCGGATGAAACACCACTGAAATGAAACAGCTATTTTGAAAACGTTTACACATGAGTACAATGGGACGTAGGGACCATGATAACGTGGATCAGCTCACCTCTAACGACGGCATGTCCGACCAGTTTCTCGGGAATGAGCTGCTTCCAGCCCAGGTACCACTTGGTCACCTCCTCGTAGTTGGGCGCGTGGTTCAGCCACGTCACCAGTACCTGAGGGGAGGAGGGGGGAGCGATGCCAAAAGGTCAGCTCATCGAGTATCGGCAACATACTCGGCCACCATTCCGTTACAAAAATCGTTCAGCAACGGGCATGATAGGCAAGGATCGTCATCTGGCCGACGGAATGCGACCAGTTTTCATTAGCTGCCTAAATTTCCTCATCCGCGACATTTCACTGGGTCAAGACTCACCTGTAGCCATTTGGGGAAGAAGAGTTTGTCGAGAATGCTGACGAGGTGGACGGGCGAGAGGAGTTCCTCCCAGTCCATCACCCAGTTCCACTGGTCCAGCACCTGGAAACAGAATGGGACAGAGGGTCAGGTCCAATCCATCACCCAGTTCCACTGGTCCAACACCTGGGGTAAGAGGGGTCAGTTGGACCTACATTAGATCCATTCATCATCGATCTGCCAGAGTCCCACCCTTTCCAGAGATGACAGCACCGTAACATTCAGCAGTAATCAAAAACTAAACGTAATGCTTTTTACACTATCGGAGGCACCAATACACAAAAGCTCGTTTTCGTTTCCCTAGCTGTACCCAATCCACTACACTGAAGAATTAAGACAACCAATTTTACATTCTTGCTTCACGCGACGCTCCTCGTATCTTCCCTTCATTCCTGACCGCAAGTATCCATTGTCCCCATTCTCCCCTCCCTAATCGCCTCACCTGCTGGTTGGGGTTGACGACCAGTTCCGACATGGCCAGCTGCAGCTTGGGCAGGATGTTCTTCACCAGGAACGCCTCCAGGCTGCCGGGAGCCATCACTCCCACCCAGGGCGACAGGATCAGCCGCGCGGAGCGGTCCGAAGGGTGCCAGGCCAGCAGCGCGCTGGCCAGCTTGTGGCGGATCGTCGGGTACACAGACTCCAGGCGCTGGTCTGAAACCAGGAACAGGAGAGTAGTTAGTTTGTTGAGACGAGTACGTTACCTATACGATATGATATACTAGGATAAGACAAGTGTGGTGATTATCCCGATTAAATGTTCGTTGCCTTTTGAATTTGCTGACATTGTGTTATTATGTCCGTAGTGATGCGAAACTATGTGAAATAAAATGACGATTTACCTTTATCTTAGGGCTGACCAATACAACCACTAATTCTTATTTCTGATCCCATGATTAACTCCAGGGACCGGACGAGTCCCGTCTCCCCCCCCCCCCCCTCCCCTACTAACCCATGATGGGCATCCAGGGGTGTATCCAGCTGTGGATGGGCACTGTCCCCCCCCCCCCCTACTAACCCATGATGGGCATCCAGGGGTGTATCCAGCTGTGGATGGGCACTGTCCCCCCTCCCTACTAACCCATGATGGGCATCCAGGGGTGTATCCAGCTGTGGATGGGCACGGCGTCGGTGAGCGGGTTCCAGGCGTCCACCTCGGTCTGCAGCCGGGGCATCAGCAGCTGGTCGCAGACGTTATCGAAGATCCAGCGCGGCAGCACGGGACGCCACAGCTCCAGCAGCTGGGTCAGCTCCGGCTGCAGCTTGGGCTGCCACAGACTGATGGCCTGGCGCACGGGCGGCATCCACAGCTCCCACAGCAGCCTGGAGACAGCAGAGAGGTAGGGAGGGTTAACAGACGGTCTGCCACACCGGCGGCATCCACAGCTCCCAGAGCAGCCTGAGAGAGGGGGATGGAGGGTTAGCAGAGTGACGGCAGGAAACAAGGGTTGAATTGTGATTAGCAGTGGGAGAGGTCGCTATAGCTGCTGGCGGTCGCAGTTCGGTCACCTCATTCTCTAGCAAGTTAAATTCACCGGTGACGAAATGTTACAACATTTACCACTCAACATCAGCGATGAAACAAGACCAATGACACGCCATTTGTATCTGTGCCAAGCTACTGGCATTATTTAGTATGGATATAAATCAGTTACCGTGTCAAAGGAACACGAGCCAAGAATTCAAGTTACATGGGAACTCATATTAATGGCGCGATGAAATAATATGACAGCTCCCAGATTGAAAAGCAACATTTTCGCAAGGAAACCTCAAAGGCCAGCGGGAAACCAATGGAGCATTAGAAATTACCGCCAAGGATAACATGAGCCTGGCATAACGACACGAGGACTGACGGCTGACGCAACAATATAAATCACCACACCCACACACCAGCTCATCATTCAAATCCCTACACAAACGGTTCACTCAGCCCCCGTATTGCAACAGAGAGACCGCTTACCTGTAGCTGTAACACACCACTCTAGCTCTCCCCACCTCTCTCTCCAAAATCATCGTATTACCCTAAACATATTCATGATATCATAACGCTACTTCCAAAAGCATTAACACCATCCAGCACATCACCACTACCATTCAACATCACCATTCGTCACCCTCACCAGTAGAATCATGGCCCACCTGTGGTAGACGTCCACGGGCGTGCCGTACTCCATTTGCGGCTTGTCGCTGCTCTCCAGAGATTCTTTCAGCTCAGCAAACACCTCGGTGGCGAACTTTGGGTTCTTCAGCGGGTTCCACATGTTGAGCAGCTCCTTGACCAGCGGGAACACGTAGTCGACGGCCAGGTAGTCCAGGTCGAACACGTCAAACTCGATCGGGTAGTCCGTCTGGGGAACAAGATGGATGTGAGAGAGGGGCGCGTTAGATTGGCTATGACGCTGTGCCACTGGACAGTTGTATGAATGGACAGCAAACCAGTCTACGATATTCGGTCTATCAACATATATTGATCAGGGGACTGCAGATGTTCAATATCATCCGGCTATCTGACGGACTGCTCGTCACTGTCAGTGCTTCATGTAGCTTTATACAGGGGAAATCGCAGCAAATTTGATTTTTCTTTAACTTTGGTCCGACCTTTTGAATGGAAAGATTCACAAGAACAGAGCCCCCGCAGCTAAGCAGAACTTGTTACGTTGGTCCGGCCCTCTACCTACGATCGTTCAATTCCTGATCTATGGCAGAATTTAGGGTTTGAAAATTAACGTACGCACATTGCCGCACACGGCCGGTCACTTCACTGACTTCGGCTGGCTACGGCCTGAAACCAACCGCAACCATACCCGTCAGGGGACCCATAATCATCCCATAAACAGGTCTCAGATGCTCCCCGCAAAAAAAAAAACGGCACTCTCAACGCACCTTCAGTTTGAGGAACATCTTGCTCATGACGTCCAGCGGGCTCGGGTTCTCCGAGCCGGGTTTGTGGGCCTCCATGTAGTCCACTGCGCGGGATACATCCTCGACACGCTCCAGCTGCGACTTGTGCCGCTCGATGGTCTCGGACAACTGCGCCTCCTCGTGCTCCAGCGTCACCTGGCGGTCCCGCTCGTAGCGCAGCGACCGGTCCGAGCGGATAATGTCCTGTGGGGGAGAGGGAGGGTTAGAAACGCCGCTGGAAGGATGCAGTACTGCTGGTGGAGGTGAGTGGATGTGCGCCTACAAAATTTCAATGTTTAGTGCATAGTTGATTAAAATATTACGCGTCTTCTCAAGAAACAGAAATTATTATAGAAAGCGGGATCTATAAAAACGACCCTCCGAGTCTGCCTAAATGCTCTTAAAAAGATGCGGATTCATCTCTCAGCTTAACGCCACCACATCTCCACGGCCTCCCGGCGGTCTCTGACCTGTTCGCAGAGGTCGACCATCAGGTTGATGTTGTGCAGCAGCTCGGGCATGTCGAACGTCCTCTTGGAGTCGTCGTCGGCAGCCGTCTCCGTCTGGGGCGGGGCGCGCTGGCCGTGGATGGCGTGGTAGCCGGAGAGCACGCGCTGCTCGCGGCCCGTCATGTCGATCACCTTCGTACGCGCCAGGTCGCCGCCGCTGCTGACGGAGACAGGCGGAGGGGAGGTCAGATGATGAGTCTCCAGTCGGCACTCCCAAGAAGTAGTCAGTTCCTTTCGCACCTTTATTTCATTATTTATCGTAACCTTTGGCTTCATTGTCGCCCTACCCTTCATCGAATAAGAAAGCCCTTTCCCAACCATCACATTCAGCCTACCTGGACGAAACTCCCGGTTTGAGCGTCCTCGTCTTGCCCTCCTGAAGCACCTCATCCAGCGTCTTGTACACGTAGTCGACCTTCTTGCGTCTGGGCCCGCGCCGCCACTGCCCCAGCTTCTCCTTGAACTCTCGCTCCGGCTCGTCGCCCTCCTTGTCGGCGGCCGGCGTCGGTCGCGAGGCGGGCTTCTCGGTCCCGTAGGCTCCGATCGCGCCGCGGCCCTTCCGCAGCTTGGCCTCCACAGGGGTGGAGATACCCTGCAGGTTCTTACCTGATGGAGGGAGGGAGGACGGTGTTAGTGATAACTCATGTGGTGATATGTGAGTTGTTACCACATAGTTGTGAACGATAGATGAACTAGAGGGCTCTCGTGAACCAGTAAAAACTCCTGTATAATGGATCGGAAACGCTATATCGTGTAGAAAACGTAAGTTCGACGATTACCGACGAATATAATGCATTTTAAACACAATGCACACTACAACGCCGTTTCTGTCATACAATAGAAACAGGAACTGCCTATTTCAACTCGAGGTCCAGACACCGATCCATCGCTCCAGATCCACCACCCGACTACCACTCACCGAGGCCGCCGCCCTCCCTGAAGCCCATCTGTTTGAGCAGCTTGGCTCCGATGCCCTTGGTGTGTTTCTCCCAGTGTCCGATGTCGCCGAGTCCGGCGGTGGGCCCGGCGCCGCCGGTACTGCGCAGCCCGGCAATCTCCTCCCGGCTCGGCCCGGCGCCCGACGACTGGAACCGGCGCTGCTTGGGACCGGAGCCGAACGCGCGCGGCAGGCCGGCACCCAGCCGCGGCGCCGCCTCATCCTCGTCACTGCCGGGCGGAGAGGGGGACGATGAGCTAGGTAGGTGACGCAACTGGGTGATGCTACAGGCATCACCCGGCAGATACTGATACATCATTCAGTTATGTTAACTGAATTACACTGCAGATGTGTAATCTACAAAACCAAAGACGCATGACTCACCTGGAGCCGGCAGGTGGGCCGTCGCCATCGTCGTCTTCGTCATCGGACTTCTTCGCCGGCACAGCGTCCTTTCCGACCTGGTGAATGCCACCTGTACGCAGGCACAGTGTCAGATGCGTCGTGCGTTAATGGCACAGCTGAAATGGTAGTGAAAGAGTGATATGGAAGATGCATAGCTTTAATTCACACCGTCACCGACCGACAACGCAGATACGTTCATCAATATAATTTCTGGTCATTTTGACAAAAAAGCACCATGCCAGTAATTTGGACGAGCCATGCGATCATTCTCACCTTTGACAAATCCCAGCGGAGCCGAGTAGTTGGGTTTCCGTTTCGGTTTCGACGGGCCGGCCTTTTCGTCGCCGCTGTCGTCGGCGAAGACGCCGTAGATGCGCTCCTCCCGCGTCTGACGGAAGCCGCGCCGCGCGTGCGGGTTGAACTCGGACTCGAGGTCGTAGTCTGTGACCTCGAACGCCTCCATCTGGTCCCCCATCTTGGTGACTCTGCCACTGAGGTGGCTTCAGTGTTGAGCAACAGCCAACAGGTCTTGATGCCGTATGCGACTAGAATCACCAGTTCTGGAGAAATTTGCACACATTTTGCTGTAGGCTGCACATTTGTGGGTTTTAGGTTGTAGGTTTGTAAATTGTAGGTTGTAGGTTTGTAGGTTTGTAGGTTTTAGGTTGGTAGGTTGTAGTTAAGGTTAGGTCAGTTTAGGTTATCTTTTGTTCTGTAATACTTGTGACTTGATGAAGACCTGTATAAGCAAGATTGAGATTTGGGTAGATATCTAAAAAACTGTCGAGTCTAGGGACTTTCCGCAAAAAGGTGGCAGCACCGCTGATATCGCCTTGAAGTAACCTAAGGCGGCTGGGAGGAGCGGGGGATTGGGAGTCTATTTCATATATTTTTTAAAGGATATTCCGAGGTGGAATGTTTGGAAACCATTCCCAATGATACCTTTTAGCATTCAGTAGCATTTGAAAGCTAATTAGCTAAATCGCAAACCCCAGGTCGCGTCGCATACTTTCACCAAACCTTACCAAATAAACGAATCCAGACACTGGCTTCTTGAAACTACTACAGGACAATCCGGATCAAGGCCATATAAGTTCCATATCTATCCAGATAGCAAACGCAAAAAAAAAAACTCACAAAACAAAACGCAAATGTAAACGTTCCGGCGCTTTGATTTTAATGCGCAGCTTATCATCCCTAGAGCGCATGATATGGCTTTCGTCTTGGCTTCCATATTACTCTATTTCCGTGAAAATAACGAAGGAAACTCATCAGTGTGAAAATGAAAACAATGATATATAAATGATCTTTTTGACCCCGATTCTTCATTTCACTTTCATTTACAATTTTTCAAAGCACGGATAACTTTTTAGCATATATTTGTTGAGAAATTGATTTGGTAGATCACTTACGATTTATGGTACGATGAGGCATTTTCCTGAATATGGTAGCAATTATTGAGAAAGTGTTGACGGCGCGACTCGTACATTTGTGAAGCTCTTTTTCCGTGTTCAATTATGTACATCCTCTGAAGTTCACGAATAATTTCACCAATAGATGATCGTAGAGGGTCAGAAAAGCCTTTAAGTGCTCATCAGCGAATTCATTTGAACAAGCAGACATCGACGTTTCTTCAGAAAGCGTGCATGGCATGAGATCGTGGGGACACGCCTAAGAGCTGGACTTTTTGATGACGTCTTCGGGTGACGTCATGTCGTGTGTGACGTTTCGTGAGCAGGTAAGGAAAAGTCACCACCGCTGGCGAACATTTGGTGCGGTAAATGGCAAACACAAATGCTGCGCAGAAAAGACAAATGTGTAACTTCAGACAACAGACGCGTTTACATAGGGTTTGTTGCAAGCTTATATCTCCGTCCGTGATGTTGCAAAAGATGCCAATGGTGCTTAACAATTTACAAAATGATCCCCTCTAAATATTTGAAGATCACTGCAACGAAATTATCGCCAAATTAACGAGCTAGAGCCTCGTCAAATATGCTATGTAAACCGGGTTAACATTCGTTCGGACGACAATGTCAAGGCGATTCAAGAAGTTCTTCATGAGATTGTTAGTTATCTGTCGTGCTATTTTAGTATGATTGTTATTAGCAGTTGAGTTGTGAAATGTATTATCAAAATCAATGTTAATTGAACGCAGATTCAATTTATTTTCAGATGTACCTAGGTACCCTTACACTTCACTCATCTCAAGCTGTTCAAACACCCTTGACAAAGTCTATTAAGATGAAACGTTGGGTATAATTTATACTGTGTTTTCTCTGCATTATTAACATATTCATCATATATACAATATAAGGGCCACATGCTTTTTACAGGGAGACATAACAGACAGCCCAGTAGGATGAGGCTTCGTCAAGCGTCATTTTTAGCAAAGCTTTTCTTGCTTAAAATCCAGTCTGCAAAACATGGCAGGGCTTACACTTTGGCTTACACTTGACTCCTAGCTGTTGTGTCTTTGCTATGCGATATTAAACATATAAAACATCTTACTATTCATGTATGCGCCATGACTCATGTAATCTTTTCACAGCCAAGACGCTCCTAAGGTACTGGGAATGTGGGGAGTGCAGCAGCATCAGTGCAGCACCGATGGTCGGATGCAACGGCTGCGATAAATGGTACCACTTCCGTTGTGCGGGACTGACTAAGGAGCCAGGTAAGCGCAAATGTTTTCTGTCTCAGTATTTTTGTTGCAGCTATAGTGATCAATGAAATATTTTCCGCACTGTTCAGCCAAACATGTATTTCAAACAATCTGCTTCCCAACCAAGGGCGTCGCCACAGGGGGGGGGGGGGACAGAGGGGATCTCGTCCCCTCCACTTTTTAAAATTTTAACATTACGCCTATGGCGTTGCATGGAAAGAATCGACTTGAAATGGTCCTCGTCCCCTCCAAAATGGTCAATGTCCCCTCCAGTCGTCGCACCGTGGCGTCGCCCCTGTTCCCAACTACACAAATTTAGTCAAACAATGTGCCAATATGGAATTTTCAGGTTCAGTTAAATGAAATAGGAACTATGATAATTGTAGATTACGTATACCTGCAAGAGAGGAAAACAGAATACATTGTATTGCTTGTCCTTCACCGATACTGTTATTTTTCCATTTCTAGAAACACCGACATGGCGATGCAGGTGGTACTGCCTGGTGAGGCCGCGGTCTCCGGAATCGCCTGCAGACGAAGTCACCTGGCGTCCATCTGCACATCACTTGCAGCAGTGAGGCCTGCTGACAGCGTCTGGCAGTGTCGGCAACGTGCCAGACACCTATCTGGAATCCTGCTCACCGCAGGTCGCCGACAGGAGGGGCGACGCATCGTCTCCGAGGTCGCCTCAGCAGCAGTGAGACCCCACTGGCCGTCTTCTTAGGCTTCAACTAGATTGCGAACAACCTATGCTGAGACAACGCCCATGACGTGTGATCCGGTACCGCTACCGCACTGCGTGCCTGTGCCCGCCGTGAGCCGCTAGTGCATGGGTTCGACCATGAGAATATGTGTTTATGTTGCTTTTACTATTGTTTATACGTTGAAGTGACGAATTGTTTATTTTTCGCAAGCCTCCGCTGTCCGGTTGCCTGCAGCTCCATGCAACGCCAGCTGTACTGTTGTTTTAATGTTGTCTCTCCGCTCAGCTGTACTGTTGCCTCTCCGCTCATAAGTCATAACAACCTATGCTGAGACAACGCCCATGACGTGTGATCCGGTACCGCTACCGCACTGCGTGCCTGTGCCCGCCGTGAGCCGCTAGTGCATGGGTTCGACCATGAGAATATGTGTTTATGTTGCTTTTTATACTATTGTTTATACGTTAAAGTGACGAATTGTTTATTTTTCGCAAGCCTCCGCTGTCCGGTTGCCTGCAGCTCCATGCAACGCCAGCTGTACTGTTGTTTTAATGTTGTCTCTCCGCTCAGCTGTACTGTTGCCTCTCCGCTCATATATGACACCCTCTATATGAATGGCACTACTGATTGTCACACCCACTGTCCGTATTGTCCGTAGTGGTGTCTACGCCCATGTTAATACAGCGTGCAGAATCCAGATTCTATTGAGGAGAGTTGAGCCAAGTCACCATAGGCTCGGGAAGAGCAACGTGGAGGCCCACTGCCCCTTCCCCGGCCCCCACTGGGGGCGCCAGCCACTCCAACTTTTGACTGGATGTCAAGAGCGTCGCCACGAGGGGAACGAGTCGCCGGCCAGCCAAGGTAGCCAACGGCGTGTGAAGGTTGCCTGACCTCGAGGAAACTGAGATGGCACCAACGGAGGTTTTGTTAAGTAGGCGACCAAAATTCGAGCGGCAGCAACCTGGGCACCTTCACAGATAGCAGTGCCGCGTATCAGGGCGCCTTCGACGTTGAGCTGGGCGCCGATCATCAGGACGCCGGGGGAATATGACCCAATATCCCCCGTAAATAAGTGCCTCGGATGGGAGACCCACCCATAAAACTGAAAGCTCGCCGTATTTTATCCACTATTTTTCGAGCAGGTCCATAGATTTCCGTCCTCAAAAGTGCGGGGATATTCCCCAGTGTTTGAGTTGGATGGGTCATGGGACTATAGTGGCGTTTACACCGACAGGAGATTCCCATTGCCGGCTGTGAGAAACTACTGTCGGTGTAAACGCCATTCATATTTCCTGCGTCACCCCTGTGGGGACGCCCTTACTCCATAGTGCCGAGCTTATCAATTTGGATATCAATGGAATCAAAATATCTTATCGATCGATGAAGAACTAAACTACCCCGACCCGGAGAGCGTCTTTGGAATCAAAGCAGTAGCACATGACGCAAGACTTCAGGCAAATAAATCCTTCTTGTCTGAAATAAAACATTTGTGTATTGATAAGCACGTTTTATAAGCAATGGTAGCAAGATTCTCCATGTATTTGGTTAAAGTGATAATTTAGTAGCAGATACTTACCGTCGCATTTCGTTTTTTTTAAATTAATAATTTATATTGTCAGAACTAGCAACATGTCTCTTCACTCAACAATAATTACAAAAGTGAAAAAGAAATGATAAATTGCTTATATTTTGGTGAAACTAAAAATTAATTCACCACATATTTTTTTTACAGCGTTGAAGTCCAGCTCCAAAGGACAGCTGACGATCGTAGCCGAGCAGGCTGTTTGGTACTTCTTCACTACTTCTTAGAAGTACCCGTTAGTACCGATCATGTCTCACATTATAAGCTATTGGAACAAAAATATCCATGTTCTTCTAATTATTCTCCTTTCACACTTTAAATAAATTCTTTTGAAATGCATTTACTAATTAATTTCACAAAAACGGCTTGAAATTTTATAACGTCAAAATACTTATTCCAATTTCCACCATGAAACCACCACTATATTACTTGCTTACAGATCCGTGCGCACAGTGCGCGCAGTTTTATCGTGACGTCAGAGGGTGCTTCCTCAGTGGCGCCCCCTGGCGGGGAACGCGTGCAAAAAGTCCAGCTCTTAGGCATGTCCAGATCGTGGCTTAGTTGTTTACTTGTAAAATTTCACATAATTAGTACCCGCATTAATTTCGTTGGGCCAATTTTTAGCTCTACAACCTGGTATTATGTGCGGGATTCGTTTCATACTCCTTACGGATGCATCTGTGGATGTGAGTACCTATATTTCATTTTGTAGTCAACATCAGACAGGGCTGGGGATTTGGATTGGTCGTACCATATCTGTCTGTTATTTTGGAGACTGTTGAAATCATTGAAATCATTGAAATCGAAAAATCATGAAATTGAGGCTGGGAAATTCAGTGGTTCCTATTTTTTTCTGTTTGACAGCTCAAGCTTGCTTGATGCTACTTTCTGGCCTTTTTTGTTGGCAGGCCTTTGTGAGTGAACTTCTGGAGAGACGTGGGCCCGACTATCAGGCCTGCCACTCAGGATGGCTGTGTGGGCAACTGAAGTTTCTGGCACATGGGTATGTGCTATGGATGAGAGGGGATGATGCAACTCGTCAGCCAGCTGTCAACGAGAGTGGTGACCTGCTCCTGTGGAATGGGAACATCTTTGATGGAGTCAAGGTACATTGATCTGGCATGATGAATCAATCCATTTATTGATGCGTATTATTTTCTGTTATTTTTGAAAGGTCCCAGTTTGTTTCTGAGCAATTGTATCGTGATGACTATACATTTTCAGAGCATGTGTGTTGTTTTACAGGTTCCTGATGGTGTTTCTGACACCAGTCACCTGGCGGCTCTGCTGTCCGGTGCCTCAGAGTCTGCGGTGGTATCCACTCTGAGCTCAGTGTGCGGCCCGTGGGCGGTAGTGCTCTGGCAGTCGGCAGAGCGCCGGCTCTGGCTCGGCCGCGACCCGCTCGGCCGGCGCAGCCTCCTGTGGAACGGCTCCCCCGGCCGGCTGAACCCCGCCTCCGTAACGCTGACCTCGGTCGGTGGCCGGCACCGCGCCGACCTCACCGAGGTGCCGTGTCTGGGCCTGTTCTCCGTCCACATCCCACCTGACTGCGAGTCGATCGCCGACCTCCGGCTGCGGCTGCACCCCTGGAGTCACGTGACGGTCCCGGACGCGTGGCGGCCGTCTGTGGCGCCCGGCCCGCCGCTGGAGAGCCCCGCCGTGATGACTGTCAACCCAGCGGTGCCAGATGATGAACTCAGAACACTTCTCGACGCTGGTGGAGGCCTGGAAGAGGCGGAGCGTCTGCCTGGCATGGCGGCCGCCATGGAGCGGTTCGAGGCGGCCATGTTGGCGGCGGTGAGGCGCCGGGTGGGGAACATGCCGCCAGTATGTGCCAGCTGTCTGCAGTCCGCTGCCGCCGCGGGAAGCCGCCCCGCAGCCTGCCCCCACCCACGTCTGGCGGTGCTCTTCTCTGGCGGCGTGGACTCGATGTTAGTTGCGGCGATGGCCGATAGATGTCTCCCCGATGACCAGCCCGTGGATCTTCTCAATGTGGCGTTTGAACGGCCGAAACAGGCACAAACACCGAGCAAAGAGGGGAGAAGTAGAAAAGCTGGCCGTGGCCGGCCGACTGTCTCAGGGACGACAGAGACGGAGGCAGAGACGCCGTCCGAGTATGACGTGCCCGACCGAGTGACGGGACGGGACGGATGGCGGGAGCTGCAGACGATCAACCCGCGACGACGGTGGAACTTTGTTGAGGTAAGCCGTGTGGAACGGTGGAGTGGATTTATCTAGTGAGTAAACGCGTTGATTCCTTCTTATTTCGCTGAAAATCCTTCTTTTGTTATTGATCTAGGAGCTAGAGCTATAAATGTCACTGACAACTGCAGCTCACCCGCTCGGATAAGCAGTCTGACTAGTCTCGCCGATGGAAGAACTAAAGACATACATGTTGACGTTCTCGCCCTCACCACTGACCACTACCCGTTCCTCTCAGGTGAATGTGACCGCCGCGGAGCTGTCTCGGTGGCGGGCGGCGCGGGTCCGCCATCTCATCAGTCCCCTGCAGACCGTGCTGGACGACAGTATCGGCTGCGCGGTGTGGTTCGCTGCCAGAGGTGCCGGAGTACTGGCCGGGGACGGGCCCGGCCGCCGGCCGTACCAGACGCAGGCCAGAGTAAGTCAGAGGAGGGTGACATGGGACAGTCGGACGTGTTTTAGGATTTGGTTTAGTGTGCCTACTTTCAGGACGCGAAAGTTGAAGTTCGGTCATCAGCTTTTTGTTGATTTCGCAACAGCTTATTCTGTTAAAAGCTGCCATGTAAACAAACTGTGTAACAAACTGAAGTATATCTTCTTAACTGACTCGAATTCGTTATGGCAACGATCACAAGCTTTCGAAGTCAACACATTACCGCAGAGGTTCCTGTATCGTCCGCCAGGTGGTGCTGGTGGGTATGGGCGCCGACGAGCAGCTGGCCGGGTACGGGCGGCACCGCTCAGCCTTCCGAGACCGCTCCTGGCCTGGTCTGGTGGCAGAGATTCAGACTCAGCTGCTTGCCATCTGCGAGAGGAACCTCGGCAGGGACGACAGGGTCATCAGCGACCACGGCAGGGAGGCGAGGTCAGTGACGGAGAGGAAGGGCAGGGGGACCCTACGACCGGGTCATCAGCGACCACGGCCGGGAGGCGAGGTCAGTGGCGGGGAGGGGTACAGCTGGGGCGAGGAGGACTGTTATCAGCGACCACGGACGGGAGGCGAGGTCAGTGGCGGGGGGGGGGGGGCAGGGGACCCTGTGACCGGGTCATCAGCGACCACGGACGGGAGGCGAGGTCAGTGGCGGGGGGGGGGGGGCAGGGGACCCTGTGACCGGGTCATCAGCGACCACGGACGGGAGGCGAGGTCAGTGGCGGAGAGAGGGGTACAGCTGGGGCGAGGAGGACCGTGTCATCAGCGACCACGGCAGGGAGGCGAGGTCAGTGGCGGAGAGGGAAGAGGAAAAGGGGACCCTGTGACCGGGTCATCAGCGACCACGGACGGGAGGCGAGGTCAGTGGCGGAGAGAGGGGTACAGCTGGGGCGAGGAGGACCGTGTCATCAGCGACCACGGCAGGGAGGCGAGGTCAGTGGCGGAGAGGGAAGAGGAAAAGGGGACCCTATGGCCGGGTCATCAGCGACCACGGCAGGGAGGCGAGGTCAGCGGCGGAGAGGGGTACAGGGGCAGGGATGACCGGGTCATCAGCGACCACGGACGGGAGGCGAGGTCAGTGGCGGAGAGAGGGGTACAGCTGGGGCGAGGAGGACTGTTATCAGCGACCACGGCAGGGAGGCGAGGTCAGTGGCGGGGACGGGGTGCTGAAGGGGGTCATCAGGCTATCAGGATGTAAGAAGTGACCAGTGCCACAGTTTTCATGGATTGGGCGTCACGAGCTGAAAAGGTACTGAATCTCTTGAGACTATTTTCCGTTTGAGCTTATCATTTCAATCGTATCCGTCGTTTCATGTTTCTCCAGAGTCGGGTGATGTTGACCGGCTGACAACCCATTTGACCTTTCTCGTTTTGCCGTGTTGCAGCTCCCCGGCAGCCCCAGCTAACCCTCCCCCCTCCCGTCAGGTTTCCGTTCCTGGACGAGTCGGTGGTCAGTCTGCTCAGCTCCCTGCCCATCTGGCTGAAGGCGCAGCCGGGGCCCGGCTGGAGCGGCTGCGACAAACTGCCCATCCGCCTACTGACCGCCCGCTGCGGGGCCCCGGCCGCCGCGCGGCGCACCAAGCGCGCCATCCAGTTCGGCAGCCGCATCGCCAAGCTGGAGAGCAGGACGGAGAAGGCGGCCGACGTGTGCGACAGGCTGATGGAGGCGCCGGCGGACGGCGGAGACGGGACAGTACGGTCGGAGCGGGTGACAGTCGAGTCACACGGCGGTGAGATCCCAAACCATCCCACGCTTGCGGTAGTTGAGAAGTTCCTAGACCACACAGATCTCGCCAAACTATCTCTATCCGAACCCGGTGGCTGTGATTCCAATAGTACGGGGAAACCTCTCCCTGTGACGCATGTCACGATCATACAGAACAGAAATGACGGCATGTTGTAGTGTTTTGATTGCATGCTGTGCCTTCCGATCATGTTGTTATACGCTTATTTCATACATCATTTACGTGCTCAATATAACATGTTTTTGTGGTACTCGTACTTAATTCCATCATCATGCAAACGTATCATCCCACAAATAACAGTTATCATACCATGTCATATGTTTCCATATATTGACACGTACACGAAGGAGCTCACACGGACATTGATAACGCTCTGTCTCGCAGGAATGATTGTCCACATCGCCTGTCCTACTATGGACGTCAAACCGCTTGAGACCCCACTTTTTTGCGATTATTTTAAAATGCGTAAACTCTCGTTGACAATATTCTGGCAATGTGTGTTTCAGAACCTGCCGAAACTTTTATTACTAAGGTATTTTGACGCCAAACGATTATGAAAGGTACTTCTCATTCACTCGTAATGTTAAATTTCACGGAACGAATCTGCTGTTTGGGTAGAGGCTACGCGCTCATGGGGCGGAGCCACGTAATGACGTCAGCCCTAAGCTCCGCCCTACCCCTCCGGCGCTCCTTGCCCGGCGACCGGTCACTCGCGTCCCTCGCTCCATTCAGGCTTGATGGTGGTCGGTAGCTGGTAGCGGCAGCGGGCGCTGGTAGATGGCATTTAGAGCAGATGGCGCTGGTGGCGGGGCTCGAGTGTGGCCGAGTGCAAGCCTCTGCCCGGGCCTGAATTGACCTTAGCATTACGAGTGAATGAGAAGTACCTTCCATAATCGTTTGGCGTCAAAATACCTTAGCAATAAAAGTTTCGGCAGGTTCTGAAACATACATTGCCAGAATATTGTCAACGAAAGTTGACGCATTTAAAAATTATCGCAAAAAAGTGGGGTCTCAAGCGGTTTGACGTTCATAGTAGTGTATATTCAGATCACAGCACAATAACGTATAGCCTGCGGCGGGCCGGCTGGCGGCGCCGGCGCAACAGCTCGATCGGCGCAATCACTATCACAATCACTGCTGGCGCCGCCAATCACGTGCGTTTGTTCGCACCAGTCTGTCGGCAAGAAAATCGTTCAAACAAATCACGTGCGCTTGCGAGCAAGTGGCAGGGCATACTATAAAGCGCTCAATCATCGCACCTGACTGTCATGGCCGTCCAGATATGGTCCGAAACGATAAAATAAATTAACAAAACTCGGGCCGCGGGCCTCGAGTGTGTCAACGCGTAAAATGCTCGCATATAAACGTCATTCTCTAGCTGCAGCTGCCGCTGTGGAGGCGCGAGCCCGACCACACAGCAGTGATACTGGAGCCGGGCCCGCCTGCTGCTCCTGACAGCGCTGTCAAATCATTAAATTGGCGATCAATCATTCCCCAGCGACCCTATCTTCGAACATTGGCATTGACGGAGGGCAGAGGCTAAATATCGCAATACAATCAGCCCCCTAAAACGTGATACAATCCCCAACTCTCTCACACACATACACACATGACTACCCGACGCATTCTAACTGCCTTCGTTACCTAATTCACCTACTGAACAATTCAGCCCGGCGGCGGCCGCGGTCCACACTGCCGGACTGTGCGCAGTGCCATCTGTCGAGCGGGCCGATAATACTAGTGCGCTGCGCGACTGACAGGTGGCAGCGTAGGCGGCTGGCCAGCCGACGGAGGTTTGTACTGGTAGCTGGCGCGCCCGAGGCGGCAGCGGCGGCGGCGCGTGCAGCTTCCCTGATGGGCGCGGCCCTGGCTGATCAGTCTGAAACCGGCGGACTGTCGTTAGTCACAGTGCAAATCGGAGAAGAGCCGCACAGAGCTCCAGATCAGCCCTCGAGCAGAAAGAGAAACTGCAGCAATTGAAGCTCGTAGCTGCAGCTCGTAGGTGCAGCAATTGAATAAGGCAATAGGTAACAAAGTCCTCAAAGCGACTTAATCGTTACAAGCTGTAGGTAGTCCACAGTCTACACCGCCTCGCTTAACTAAAAACAAGTTAGGTTCGTAATCGTACATCCGGGGCAACTATCCAGGATACCTACCAGGCTATCCTGACAAGGCTTCCTTCAAACCACACATACCTCTCATCGTTTTGTCAGCGCACCTTTGGTTCGGAGGAGGGTGGGTGCCGCCGGCGGCCCGCTCAGGCGGCGTTGGTCTCTGGCCGGCTGTCGAGCCACTCTGTGTGGAGCTGATCGGTGCGGGCCGTCTGTTCGGCGTCCAGCCGCTGCCGCCAGCTCTGCCGGCGGTCCAGCGCCTGCTGACGCACCTGGGGGGAGAGGAGAGGGGGATGGGGAGGTCAGAGGAGTACTGTCTGACACTGCCGCCAGCTCTGTCGGCGGTCCAGCGCCTGCTGACGCACCTGGGGAGAGAGGTAGGTGGTAGGTCAGAGGGGTACTGTCTGCCGCTGCCGCCAGCTCTGGCGGCGGTCCAGCGCCTGCTGACGCACCTGGGGAAGAGGAGAGGGGGATGGGGAGGTCAGAGGAGTACTGTCTGACGCTGCCGCCAGCTCTGGCGGCGGTCCAGCGCCTGCTGACGCACCTGGGGGAGAGGGGGAGGTCAGAGGGGTACTGTCTGCCGCTGCCGGCGGTCCAGCGCCTGCTGACGCACCTGGGGAGAAGGAGAGGGATGTCAAAGGAGTCCGGTCACAGAGAAGGCTGATGTGCCAGTGAAGGAATTTCGGGCAAGCTGTAAGTACGCCATACATCACGGCGAGGACCACAGGGAGGTTCCGACGTAACCGTCCGATATGATGCGGCGAAACCTGTTATAGCGGGTGCTTTGACCTGATTGTGCTGCTGACTGAGCCGGCCTGATCATTGGCCTGCTGCAGGTGAGTAATATACTGCAGGTCATACACTGACCTCTGCAGTTGTCAGTACACCGACCTGGTTGTGCTGCTGACTGAGCGCCTGTTTGGCCTGCTGCACCTGCTCGTTGAGCCGCTCGTGGGTCAGTGATACACTGACCTGTGTCGTCAGTACACTGACCTGGTTGTGCTGCTGACTGAGCGCCTGTTTGGCCTGCTGCACCTGCTCGTTGAGCCGCTCGTGGGTCAGTGATATACTGAACTATGTTGTCAGTACACTGACCTGGTTGTGCTGCTGACTGAGCGCCTGTTTGGCCTGCTGCACCTGTTCGTTGAGCCGCTCGCGGTGCTGCACGCCATCCCTGACAATCACCTGCGACATCTCACGGCGCAACCTGGAAACAAACAACACATCAGCATCAGTACGCAGAAGCGTTCGGAACACCCTAACAGTGGAAATATCTCTTGTTGAACAAACCACGGCACGTGTGGCTAGCAGCACACCATTGACAACACATAATCGAAGTCGACGTTGCCAGCGAAAACACTAGCAACTATTTTTGAAAGCACCCACCTGGACCGTTCGTCTTTGGAGACGCTCTTCCGGTCGAGCCGCTTGCTGGCGTCCTTGAGCTCGCTCTCGATCTTCTTTTTACTCTCGGCCACCTTCTGGTCATAGTAGACCTCCAGCTTCTTCAGTTGCTGCGCCTGCGCACTGCGAACCACCTTATCCAGCGCGTCGTGAATCTGTGGCAAAAGAGCAGACGTGGTTATGGCATGGAAGACAGAACAGCATTTACGGTGCGGAAAGACGTATTTATAGCGAAGATGTTATCTGGACCTGCGTTAGCCATTACAGCCAAAATCCCACAGCCAAGCACAGGACTCACCATATCGATGTAGCGTTCGGTGAGCTCCCGCTCTGCTGCCGCCACCTGACGGCAGAACGTTTTCACAGCCTCCTGATCGGCCGGGTCGGGTGCCACCAGACTTAGACCCTCCCTGCAGAGACACGCGGACAGACGGGTCACGTCAGCGGGGTGTCGCATAGGAACGCAACGAGTTATCATGTGGAAGTTGAGCGACTGAGTGGTCAATCAGTGAATGACGTATATCACTGAAATGACTGGACATAAATTGTTATGGAACTCATGAATATAAAACTCATATGAACACCTAATCAACCTCATTCAATCACAACTACAGACCCTACGTCCTCAATTCTCTCTCACTCACACTTTGTTCGAGTTGGAGAACTTTTTCACCAGTTTGGAGTGGGTCCGCGAGAAGCTGTTCTTTTTCTCGGTGGTGGCCGGGCCGGGCGCGTCCTGCGGTCGCAGCCGCTCCCTGGCGAACTTTTTCCGCATGCTCTCCAGCTTTTTGTCGAGCTCCTGGCGCCGCTCCCGAACCAGTTTATCCTCCCAGAGTTTGTCCAGAGGGACGGCGTTCAGGAGACAATCTCAGAGAGGAAAAGGTGTCGGTCAGTCCATCGCACGAACATCAATTAGAAACATTGCTTTACGTTCGTATCTAGTAACATCTCATGGATTGTCAATTAATGATTATGTATTTCATAAACGTTTATAGGTACATCAACAAAGCCCCTGCTATGACACAAGCAAGTTGCCTAGGACAGAAAACGCAGCCGGCACGCCCTCAAATATACCAGCTCGCCACCACTGATCACTGAGCGGTGAGCGGTGAGCAGAATATGCGGTCCATCTCACCGGGTATGGCGGGTTCTTCCACCGAGTTGGGCTGACTGTGCTGGAGACGCAGAGGCTCCATCCGCTCTGCAGGGGCGGCAGGGAAGGGGCAGAGTTAGACGAGGGGTCAGGCGGGGAGGCGGTCAGGCGAGGGACAGAGAGTGGACAGAGGTGGTCACGAAGTAGAGCATAGACGACATAAAATGTCGGAAGTCAATGTAACGCAAAAATTAAATGGTATAAAGCTGTGATACCTATCTAATAAAATATGAGACTGATTCTGACGTTACAATTCATCAATATTTGAACAAAATTGGATTCATCTAAGAGTATGCAATGCCATCAAGCAATGTTGCACCCTAGAAAACATTCGTTATTAAAAAGCATAACGTAATGAATAAATTTAATGAAGTCGCCCGTCCCAGCCAACATGCGACGCCTTCCATAATTATGCTGCATACCGCTGCAACCATGCGAGCTGAATGAACATGCAATTAGGAGCCGGAAGGGGACGGCATGCACCGGACATTCCAGCCGGGACATGTATCGCGTGCCGACCGCGCCCATGGGCAGGCAGGACTGTAAGAAGAGTGCATCATATAGTTGATCTTGTAACCAAATCCCAGAGGTCAGTAACTCGGTATCGATATCAGTCCCACCGGTCATACGGTGACCGTTCGGTTACATCGAAAATTGTTAGGAGTTCGTAGAGCAGTGATTATTGTTCTTCCCGTCAGATAACATACCATTTACTTTCACTCCCACACACCACTCGAACCTGCTCCGTAATGAGAGAAAGAAAACAGAAACTCTCACCAACAGAATAAGAACAGAAGCTCACCAACAGTCAGAAGTAAGAAACTCTGACCAATAGAAGCCAGAAACTCTCACCAACAGTCAGAAAAAGGAGCACTCGAGACCATTTCGCACAACACAACACCAGACAGAAGGGAGAATAGCCAGAAATGTGTACAACAAAGACATAGTCTGACACCCGAGAGAGACAAAAGACAGGCGAAATAGAGAAGATAGACGAGACAGATAAGCGAGATTGGAGCTGACGGACAGGCCACAGCCGGGCAAGCTGAAAAGAGAGTCAGCCAGATATAACTGTGAAGAACTGAATTCGGTGGCACTGTCAGTGTATGGAATATGGATGATGGTCAGGTAATGTTCGGAAAGGCTGAGGCACAAAGTGGTTTTCAGTCAGAAGGTTTAGAAGGACAGTTTGCTCTTTCGGTAGGATGGTCCCCGGGAGATGATCGTAACTTTCTGGATTCTGGGGAAATGCCAAGCCTGTGAAGCCATGTCGGTAAGGTAAGAACTCGATCAGATTATGAAGGAGATCAGAACCGGTCAGCTCTCCTCCGATTAGATCCGCTCCGGGCCGGGTCGAGGTCACACCTGAGGCCGGCTGCCGGTGGTCCGGTCGGCTCGGCTGGTAGCCGCGCGACTGCAGGAACCGCTGCCAGAACACCAGCGGAAACACACCGAGCAGACCAGCAGAGGACGCCGACGGGTCACCTGTCGGCCGGTGACGTCACACACACACGGACCGGTGACGTCACACAAGGCGCTACCAGCTCCCGGCGGGGGATAGGGGAGAAGCGCGGGGTGGGGGTCGACACGACAAGGCGGGGGTGACGCTACAAATTATGTGACAACAGCTCCTAAAAGCGTGCAGTGAGTCTCGGTAAAGGTGATAAAAGGCTCATTTTACCTTGGAATGCGGAGCCGGAACCGCTAAAGGCCCGGTCCCGGAGCCAGCAAAAATAAATGGTTCCGGTCCCCATTGATGTAAAATTACGGAATTTATGTTTCAAAATCATAGACCATAAGCTGTTTATTACGAAAACTCATGACTCCGAATTCTAAAATTCCGCGCTATTTCGCATGTTTATAATGTAACCGTCGTAAGATATCGCATATCTATATCACAAACAACTCGAGACCAGTCGTATTTTCCGTCTCCGTCCCTCGGTTACTCTTTCGGAAAATGACGTCGGTCAAACTCACGCGCTGTGCCATGTTCAAAGCGGAGGTAATTGACATCAGCAACGGCGGGAGAATGTTTTCGTCCACCAATGACATGCTGAACTCATGTTGGTGAACAGCAAATCAACTATTTTACGAACGGTATCATGGGCAGGCGAGGGTAAACACTCCAGGCAAAACGCTATACGTGAAAACAGAAGCGAACATATAAAATATACACACAGTCAGGTGATAATCTACAGTTGGTAAGCAGGCACGTCACTCAGGGGTGTGTTGAGGGGGACACGCAGAGTGCTATTTTCACACACAAACGCAAAGCGGGTGATGCGATCAGCGATTCACACGCCAAGCTGCCTGGGAAGTGTTTGGAAGGCGATATGTTGGCCCGTGAGTGAATGAGTGAATGAGTGAGTGAAAGAGTGAGAGTGAGGCTAGGGGAATGAATATGGTGAAATTCGTGGCTATTCGTAAATCGACTTACAGTATTTGTACGTAATCCAATCAGTAAATAATCTCAAGAATTCGCTAATCAGTGTGTTCTCGTATCGGCGTGCCGGTGCATCTGTATTCGTGTATTTGTATCTGTGTCCAGGGTCGCTGCTCCACTGCCGGACTCACTGTTGGTCTGGCCGGGCGCGGCGGCCGGTCCCGTGTCTGTGTCTCTGTGGTCAGTGTACCCCGGTGTACTCACTGTTGGTCTGGCCGGGCGCGGCGGCCGGTCCCGTGTCTGTGTCTCTGTGGTGAGTGTACCCCGGTGTACCCACTGTTGGTCTGGCCGGGCGCGGCGGCCGGCCCCGTGTCTATGTATCACTGCGGTCCCTGCACCCCGGTGTACTCACTGTTGGTCTGGCCGGGCGCGGCGGCCGGCCCGCGCGCCGGCGGCGGCTGCCCGGGGCTCTGTACGTCCGGTCCGTCCCTCACCCCGCCGTCTCCGTCCCCGACCCCCGGCTCCTCGGTGGGCGGAGGTCGGGCCGGGGTCGGCAGAGAGGCGTTCTCCGGGTCGTCGTCCAGCAGACCCTAACCGAACGGCGGAGAGAAGGGGTGGGCGGGGGTCAGCAAGGTCATCAGAGAGGTGAAACTGATCACCAAAGGTCAGACACGGGTCACTAAAGATAAACAAAGGTTAACACAGTCAGCAGCAGAGATCCACACAGTGGTCAATGCTCAGACACCCATCCCAGGTCACCCAGGTCACCAGAGGGCAGCCATGGGATTCTTGGGCCACCACAAGTTGGCAGACAGGTCACCCACAGGGCGCTCAGACTAGTTTTTTACCGGATGGAACGTAAGGGGTCGGTAGGATACCCAAACTATGCCAAAGTAATAGCCTTCTTCCCCAGAGCCACCGGCCGGCCGACCCACCCCATGGCGAGACTGTCTGCGTCGCACAACTACTGTGTAGTAACTGGACACAGCGAGATACACGACACATGACACACAAACACATGGACAACTCGGTTCTTACCCGGAGTCGGGGTCCTTCCGCAGTATGAGGAAAAAATGGCTCGCTCGCACAGCTGTTTCATTTGAATAGTAAATTACTCCAGCAATTATTATAACTAAGCCATTAACCAACTTGGACACGCTTAGCAAGAAATATGAGAACTTTCCGGCATAAAAATGGCACGATATCTGGCGCTGGACCATTTTCATTTTTCAAAGAGAGAATATTTAGCTGGAAAGTTTTAGATCAAACTGCAATAATGGACGTCATATCTCATCAGAGTTTCCCACTTTGGAACAGCGGCCATTGAGATTATACTTGAGCCGGAAATGACGCCCACAAAAAGTCTCCGAACAAAGGCTCCCGGTCGTCTGCGGCTCTCTCTCTCTCTCTCTCTCTCTCTCTCCTCCCCCTCACCTCCCCATCAGGTTCGTCGGTCAGCACTCGCAGCTGCTGCGCTCGCTTCTCCCGGTATTTGATCGGGTTGGCCAGAGCCTCGGCAAAGTCCGACAGACCGTCAGGCACGTAGTCGCCCACCGTCACCTGCGCAGAGGCTAGCACGTTAGGTCATCGGCGCAGAGACTAGCACGCCAGGTCACAGAGGCAAGCCGGCCAAGTCACCTTCGCAGAGGCTAGTACGTCAGGTCACACGGGCTAGCCTGTCAGGTCACTTGTGCAGAGGCTAGGACGACATTCTTCACAGCCTACTCTCTCTCTCCCCCACCTACTCTCTCTTTGGCTATCTGTGACAGTCCCCTGTGGCCGGCTCCGGGAGACGAGGGCCGAATATAGCCCGCCGCCGGTCCCCGGTAGCTCAGTCCGCCGATAGCATATTGAGAGACAGCACACGATGGGGACTATAGTTCGTTTTTCTTAAGTTTGCCCCTCACTGTAAACGTCTTTTTGAACATAGCACGAGAATTGCTAGCTGAATTACTGAAAAAACTGGTAAGCGCACATTGTATGGTAGATATGAATAATATTTTCAAAGATAAGTTTTCAACGCCGACGATTAAACGTTATGTTAAGCGCCGTGCAATTTATTTATTAGTTCAGATATAATTCCTGAGGAGTCGTCTATCCCTGTGGGGCTGTAGGTATTGGCAAATACGAGCTAAGAGTCTGTGAAATAGTAAATAAATTTGATGAAATTGATCGTCTGTGAAATCTGGTCAAATCAATGTGCGCCAACCAGTTTTCTCAGTAGTTCAGCTAGCAATTCTCGTGCTATGTTCAAAAAGACGTTTACAGTGAGGGGCAAACTTAAGAAAAACGAACTATAGTACGACACAACACCCCAGCCAGCAGCCTCGTCTCTGTCCCCGGGGCCCGGAGCATAGCGTCGCAACACAGGGCAATCAAAACCACTTCAAATGCCTGTGAAACTCGCTGTCCCACGTATACAAGCGCATAGTGCGGGATTGTAAAATTACAGCCAACTGGATAAGGCAAGCACAACTAAACACGGACTTAATCGTTACCAAACACAGGGATGACAGGACTCATGACTCACAACTTCTAGTCTATACATATGGGTAAACTAACATTTGGGGTCGAGTGAACCAAGCTTGAGACCAAGCAGCGACCCAGCTAACCATAAACCTCTGATTACGATCATCACACCGTCGAACTGCACAATAACATCCATCAGTGAGCTGTTTACGTCTCTCGCTACATAACTGTTGTCTCGAACGAACCTGGCTATTGTCAAGTAGCCTGCTGAGTCTTCGACAAGAGACAAGTAGGCGTCATATTTCTCTAAAAAGCAAGTTTACTCAGTAACACAATCGCGCCATACCTCGACAACCCACTAACACAGCTAGGTGTCCATACCTTGACGAACAGTGTGCTGAGTCCCTGCGGCTGTCCGGACTCGTTCCTCAGACTGATGTGCCGGTAGCCGGGCCGCAGACCGACCACCGGCAACACGCGGTGTCCCAGCAGCCGGCCCGACTCTTCGTAGGCGGCCACTCGGAGCACGGCCAGTTCCGGCAGCACCACCTGGACAGGGGGGAGAGGGAGGGGGAGGTTAGATGGTGGGGGCAGAACATGACCGGGCACGAGACAATGATGGGGTTACGATAAAACTCAATATCATGAGTTACATGAAACCATTTATTGTTATTGAACAAAACCTATACATCCCGGCAGAGGGTAACAAACGCACAAAAGCATTAACATACGAATATGCTGCAAGCACTTACCAATAACAGAGCAAGAATGCTACGTGGCAACCACCGTAATTGCTTTTAGGAACCAAACTTATCAATAATGTCACCGGCAGTGAGGCTCCTAATAAATCGTCAGAACCAGCATATTCTGTCCCAAAGTATTACAAAGACCGTAATTTTTTGCCCAGTACACCGATTAACGCACATCAGTGGATCATATCCACCACCCCAGTACTTGTCCTTCCCTCCCGCCCCCTCCCTCCCTCCCTCTCTCTCTCTCTCTCTCTCTCTCTCTCTCTCTCCTCTCTCTCTCTCTCTCTCTCTCTCTCTCTCTCTTTCTCTCTCTCTCTCCCTCTCCCATTCACCTTTTTGAAGACGAACGTCTCGTCATCCCAGACGGGGTTGATGGCGTTGTTCTGGATGACGCGCGTCTTGAAGCGCCGCCGCACGGTGTCGGCCGGCAGACCGTACATGTCCACCTCCACCCACACATTGACGCGCTTTTCAGAGAGGAACTGGCCAGAGATCACCTGTGGGAAGTGGAGGCGGCGTGAGGATACGCGGACAGCTCAGGTGCTTGTTGAGTGCACAGGTGCACATCTCAGAACAGAGTGAACGGAGAAAAGATTTGAGATAAACGAATACCTATACTAGGTTTGTATTGCTTGCACGTCTACATGAGTAATATGCCGGTAATGCATATCAATTTACCAAGAATCCTCAATACGTATGTACAATAACGGATTACGTTTAGAACTGATCAAGTGAACTGGGGTAGCCAAGGTAACAAATCACAACATAGGCATCACTTTCCATCCATCTGGAGGTTTCAGTCGGGCTAATGAAGCTACACAAACTACGCGTTTCCTTGGAACCATCGACCTCGCCTGCTCGCCACTCCTGCCTGAATGTCCTCAGCTCCCACTGAAGCAGCGCCTCACCTTGACGGAGACGGTGCCGGCGATGATGCCGTCCACGGTCGACTCGGCGAACGGGTCGAAGCGCCGGTCCGGCCGCCGCATTATGTCCGGCTTCAGCAGGTACCCGGACCGGTTGTTGTACTCGAAGATGCCCATGTTGAGCTGCATCGCCAGGTCTGGAAACAGGGACGTGGTGTCACGTAAAAGGCGACAATGGGCCCGCGATGGCGGTGCGAACGAAAAAAAAAAACAACAAGCAGGAGTTTGGCACAATTTTGTTAGAAAGTCACAACTTTGGGACAAAAAAAAAAGGAATATCCCGCCGGCATCTTACGAGTAACACTTTATTGATGCCCAAAAGTGCCATGTCTGGCGGCTGATCAGCTCGTAGAATGTTCGAACTACCAAGACCTCATCCCTATATTCCTCCACAGTCTCATTATGAGACATGAGCCGTGACTGCTCAGTCCTTCCACTGCTCCGACGGTATGTGAAGCTGCCCACAGCAGAGTTTGTCACGTGACGTCGTCACCCCATCAGCAGAAAGTCCGCTCTCAGGGTCAGCCTGGTCGTCCATCTCCGGACACGCGAGTCCCCAGCCCCTCCCCAGCCCCGGAACGGCGCCTGCAGCGCGTGGCGGAAGTCATCACCATATTTAAAACGCCATCTCTGCTGACAGGCCATTTGCAGAGGCCGTGGACACACTGCCGTGCCGTGCTCATATTCCCCATGGCACTGCTCCCTCCGCCGTCTCCGTCGCCGTTGCGTCGGGAATGCAGTGGGAGGCGTGGATAAATGCTGATATAGTGACAAGTGAGCGGTAGGACACTGGTAACTGGCGAGTGATGCAGGTTTGATGAACGCCAGAAAGATGCACAATGGGAAGGTCCAGTGAAAGAGGAAGATGCGCCAGCGTTTGGGCAGACATGAGACGGGGAGCGAGAGCAGTCACGGGAAAGAACAATAATTGAATGGAGATGGAGCGAGACACAGCGGAATTGATGTGCGGGAAAAACGTATACTTCTACGGGGTGATGGTGCAAACGAGAGGCGGGGAAGCACTAGTGTTTGATGATGATGTCAGCGGCATTGCGATAAACAATCACATCAAACGTACAGCCCAACAGAAGGAAAACCACTGGTGGAGATAATCGATAAGGCGTTTCAAGCCTAACAAGCAGCTCCGAACGACACACACAACCATCCCATTTTGAAATCTGGGACGTACAATCATCCTTCTCCCATGATGGGCCTTGCCACGAGCTGGTCCACTCTGTCTGGTCGACGGCGAGCCAACGCGCGACTATTGTCTACGTACGTGCCCGGGGGCGACAGCTGAGTGTGTTCAAGGCCGGCTATCACTCAGAACCAGCCGTAATGAAATGTCAGCGGACCAGCGGCTAGCGAGCCGCGCTGGCACGCTCGCCGGGCACGTGCTCTAGCGGGGGAGGACGGTGGATCAGCTGGCTGCACCGGGGACTATCGGGAACTCCCGCTGATTGACCGTGTCAGATCATCTGCTGGACATAGCCACAGCTCAGGCCTGAGCAGATCACAGAATAAGTACAATTGGCTGCGAGGGCTCACACAGAAGGAGACAGTTGTGAAAATAAATGATCCCAAAAGAACAAACGGCTCGGTGCGACAGTCCCGCTATGCATGCGCCATGCGGAAATTGACCTGTCTTTCTGGGAAGCAGTGGTACGTGTGTTACTATCTCCGCGTATTATACGGTAACGATATTATCTGCTTCTACGTGATGAGCTATGGATGATAACTGCACAAATAAACAACCAAAAGGGTTCAGCAGAAACGCTCAAGATTGCCTATAAGTACCACCTATTGCCTAAGTGAGACAGCTGATACTCGATTCAACTGAAATACAACTGATGAAAGGTGAGGTAGCGAGGCCCGTAGGCCGTACGTACGACATTATCAACTCGGTTTATCGCTACCGTGGCGAGCTGACCTCGTCATCATCGGAACAAATTAACACCTTGCAGATCATTGGTACACATATAAGGCCAAGGAAGCCATCGTGGTCTTAGCACGTACCACGCATCAACTCGTGGGTTCATTAGAAAACCGCATTAGACGCGGCGAAATATTGAGCTGCTGTAGCCAGTGGCATCCACACCCACGAACGTGATTTTGTTTCTGGGAAGCGCTACGCCACGACTAGCCAGTCCACGCCACACCGGCCCGTGGTGAGCAGTAGCCTCGTACATACGAGGGGAGATAGCATCATCCAACAAAAGGCGTCCCACGACAGGCCGTCATCACGGGACAAAGTGGCCGGCCCGATCCGTCACCGACCGGCCACGGGCCACCTCTCCGCCATTAGCTCGTGATGAGAACTAATGAAAATCAGCGCGGCCGGCGGCGGCCAGAGATGCGGCGCACGTTCCTTCCATCAGGTATTCGGCGCGGCTGCCGCCACGCTGAGCACCAATGAACGAGTGATTCATTACCGCGATAGCGGTGCCCAGAGAAAGCGACCGGCTTTGGTCAGCGTGGCAACGCGGTGGCAATATCCGCACCGCGGTCTGCGCGGCAGTCAGCAGTAATGGAGTCGATATTAAATTCGTGTCTGACACAGCCACAAGCTGTGAAATCATTGATCCAGGTGGTGCATGAAGTGGAAAAGACTCACTTCACTACTTTCAGGGCCAGAACCGACCTCATACGATAAATTTCCGACGAGTTTACTGTGCACATCACGTATTCAGCAGAGGTGTTCATTGGGCTGTATCTGTCGACTCCACATTCATAATGGCATACCTACATCGGTCTGGTAAGGCGAAACTCTTAATGATTCAGGAAAATGTGCTTATGAACCACCAGTTATCTAAGCCTTGTAATTGCACGCATGCTAAGATATTAGCAGTCTGGGATTGAAATAAATAACGAATTAAAACCATAATAGCGAGGAACTTCTAAGGGGGTACATAAGCTCGCGCGCGAGTCATCTACGATTAACCAACAATACATCCGCCCACCCCCTCAAACCCATCATCTAATTGCGTCGTCTACATCACAAATAGACACCTCTAAATACCTCCGTCTACCCAGTACCGAAGTTCACAAACTTCCCTCGCTCCCCGGCTGTGAAGTTCCGCGCCACTGCTCACCGAGTGTCTGAAAGTTGAGCGCCACCAGTTGGCAGCCGGCGTTCCAGTAGACCTGCGGCATGAAGTTTGAGCTCTCCAGGCGCGTGCCCTTGGGGTAGACGCGGCTCAGCTGCCGCTTGTTGTAGTTGACAAAGTCCACCGGGAAGGCCTTCAGCAGTGTGGTGGCCTGGGTCTCCACCATGGACGACATCTCGTAACTGCGGTTACGGCCTGACGGAAGGACCCGGGGGACGGTTAGACGTGTCGGCGCTGGCGGCGCTACCGGAGATTAGTTCACACATGGGAGCAGTACAGTGTGTGGACAGACAGTCCCACGAGATGACCCTTCTCGTAGTGACATCATTTCCACGAACAGAATCGCGAGAGCATGCATTTTACAACAGAGCGGACGTAGTCAAGCGCATAACAAAAGACATTCCTCCCCGTCATCGCTACCCTTACAGCTCCCCTATGTCCTCACGTTCTGCCTCGGCGAAGCTGTGAAAGTGTCCGGGCTGGACGTAGTTGACCAGCGCCGATATCTCGGCGCCGGCCTCCGACTCCTTGCCGGCGGTGCCCGAGTCTTTCTGTGTGTTCTCGCGCAGTCGGCGCTCCTCGGGACTGAGGCTGTCCTCGTCCGAGTCCGAGCTGCTGCTGCCGGCGTCGTCAGAGTCCTCGTCGTCCGCCTGGCTGGGCTGCTTCTCCAGCGGCGGAGGGGCCGGGCGGGATACGTCGCCGTTACCCTGTACCTGCTGGTGATTGAGAGCGGAAGGAAGACAGGGGGATGAGTTGTCAGCAGCGGCGGATGGATAATTACGGCTATTATTTTAAGAAAACCTGTACGGGGTTATTGGGCGGATACGTCGTTGAATATACGCTATGAAGCGTTCGATTTTCACAAACCACCGCTTATACTTACATGATCACAACTGATAATTCAGCCAAGTCAGGTACCGCATCTGATTGCCATTACAATCCAAGTGTACCACCAACAGCACACTCCCAGCCCATATAACACACAGCCCCCAGTCTCTACAACACCCCGTACCTCCTGCGGTGATCCCGACTCGAGCGGCAGGTGGAACGTCGTGTCCGACGTCTGCTTCGTCACCAGCTTCTGCTTGTGGTGCTTCTTCTTGTTCTTGATGAGGATCTTTCGCCTCAGGGCCGTCGGCGGCGGCAGAGGAGAGCCCGCCTCCAGCTGCGCGGAAAAACCAGTGTGAAAACTCAGGCAATTTGACGTTCTAAAAAATTTACCAACTACTTTAGATGCCAACAAACTGTGTATCTTCGCTTAAGAGCCATGGAGTCGAGTCAAATGCAAAAACACAATACAATCATATGAAGATATATTCGAATCCAACAAAAGTGGCCGAAAGACGTAACGGTAAAAACCAACAGCATCCGACTGACATACCAAGTACAAACATTTCGCATCGCCAACCTATCGAATTCCCATCCCGAGTGACACATTCCAACATTGCAGCTGAAGGCCACACCACTCTAACTGGCCTTACAAACACAGAGCCGTCGCCCGCAGTCGCGCCAAATTACGTCCGATCAAACACAGTCAGTCGCTCGAAAGTCACCGAACGGCGCTCGACAGTCACCGAACGCACGGATCAATGGTCGGTCACGCCCGTCGACCGGCCGCGCCCGCATGATCCTCCGGCTCAGCGCAACTAGTGGACTCGACAGAGAGACACACCCGCGGCCGGACACACTGCAGCGCTGCCAGGCCGAGACAGACCACCCCGCGTCCCTGCGTGTCTCCCCGGCTCGGCGCACCCGGCGTAGCCCGCCCGTGAGAGGGAGAAACGTCTATCGCAGGTCACACTCTAGACAATATACAAACGGTCACACTACAGTCATGATACCAGTTTGCCCAGCACATCCCGTTGTTGCGCCGATACGCTGCGGTCTGATCGGGCATGTGTTGTGGGCATACCATGGCACCGACTCAAGAGCAGATGCGGCTAGATGCTAGAACGACCATATAGTATGTTGAAAAGACATTTAGCCCGGTACCGGGCACGATATATATTCGTTGGATCAGGGCGCGTGATGCTGTTCCAAAATAGTTACGTAAATATCTGGTCCGTTCCGACTCTACCATTCCCGTTTCCGTTCGTCTAATCGACGCCCCTCGTATAGTGCACTGTTAGCGAGCCCGCGGTGTTGATGTCACAGGTGTCAGTATCGACACAGTGTCAGTCGTGTCAGACCTCCATCGACCGGATGACACCGCGCTGTGACGCGGGGCGGGGCGCCATTCGCTAATTGGGCGCGGACGGACGGCGGTGTCACCTTTCTGCCGACACCGCCGGCCATCAGCCAGACGACACCGCCGCCAGGAGGTGCCGCTAAGTGACGAGCGGTGAGACGACCGGATGGACGGGCGGGTCAGGCAGTAGGCACGGGAGGGGAGTGCACGGTGTGGCTTGTGGTATCAGAGCTGCGTGCGATAGTGTACAGGTGTTCTCAAGAATAAATGTTGTGCGTTCACCTTTTCTATTGCATTACTGGACCTATGCCAACAGCCGCACATGGAAAGATTTTTGGAACAAATTAAACATGGACTTAAATGGCAACATGTAAAAAACTCTTACCGGGTAGTTTTCCAGTGGACAGTCGAGCAGGAGGTCGCCGAAGCTGTCCCGGCAGTACTGGGCGATCTTGGCCTGCTGTTTGGGATTGCAGTGGTTCTCGAACGACAGAATCACCGGCCACTCGGATGTCTTGAACGCCGACTCGGCGATAGCCTCTATCACGTCCTGTAGAAAACATCAACAATCAGAACTGAAAGCACAAACTGCATCCAAACGACAGTGAATCGCAAATCAGGGCGACAAACACACGCGGTTGCATTAGAGCCACAGGATCGAACGCCGCGCCACAGTCGGATTTGGTAATTTGTTCATTATCTAATTGCTAGCTATTTCGTTAAGCGCCGGGCTCAATCAGCTAATGGCAATTAACGCCTCCGCAGTTCGCATCGTTGTTGGTAATTAAATTTGCAAACGTGGAAATGCCAGCCAAAGATTGCGGCAAACACGGTCCCAGGGCAATACTGCAGACATTGAATGTCGTAAATCACTACATAAATCACGATTATTTGGGTCGGCATGGAAATTCCCTCTCGTTAATTGCTATAAAAATATCCAACCAGCAACTGTGAATAAAAAAAAAATGCACTCCTGTAGCCTGTGCTGGACGGACTATTCCCAAGGACTGAAAACCAGCGATCCGTGAATAGCTGTAAAGCTGACAATGATAAACATGAGTTTGACTTGGAGCCAGTTGACGCCGTCCGCCATCCCCACCTTGGCCGGAATCTCGGTGACCATGGTGTAGCCGTGGCACACTATGGGCTCCTCGGTGCGGCCATTCCAGAAGTCGAGCTCCACGCAGCGGCAGCCGGTCAGTAGGCACTGGCGGTAGATCTCCACTGACGACTTGCCCGTGAACTGGTGACCTGGCAGGACACACAGGGTCACCGTCAGGTCGGGCTGGGTCACGGCTTGAGCTGGACTGAGCCGGACGGGGCGGGAAGGAATTTATCAGGGCAAGATGGTGTACGACAGGAGAACGCAGACTTGCGAAGAGCGGGGCGGGGCATGGGACATAACGGGCGTCCTAGGTCAAGGATGGTTATAGCCCAGTCTGGGCTCACGATTAATTGAGCGTGCTCATGGGACTGACATCCAGTACCGAAATCAACGTTAAAGTGGAAATTGTCAGCTGACAGATACCCTGCTCTTATTCGAAATGGCAAGTCAATGTGGCGTTCACTGATTGGCCTCACGGAGACCATTTCCCCTCGAAATGAAATGAAATACATCTTACACCAGTCCAGTCGAAAAATCCACGGTGAACTGTGGGGAAGCCCAGACTTAGCGGACGCCAGCCATTTCTCTAATTGAAGACGCTCTTGGACTTTTACAAGGTGGTTTAACCCCACACCAGGTCAACTCACCGGTAAGGTAGGTGTTGTGTGACGAATTGATAAAGTAGTGTGACAGAGGCTGGTCCATGTCGTCACTAAGGTCGAACTTCTCGGGCGCCACCACCGCGTTGTCGTCGCTCATGAGGTACGCCATGAAACCCTCCACACTGAGGAGCCCTGCAAATCGCCGAAAAATCCAATTAGAAACATGATCTTTCTGGATTTTATCGGTGCTGTAAATATCATCCCTGATCTTACCCGCACACCCCTTTGGTTTCCATGGTTACACATACAGCGGTCGACCAGCACCGTGGGCCACGACACACTTACGCGCCAGTTGTACAAAACAAACCCGTTCCACCGAGTTTGCGTGGGGAGGCTGCCAAAGTTTTGCTCGGTACACGTCTGAGATGCCATCTCCGCCTGACGCCTAAAGTGATTGACTCGGTAAAGCATTGGTTTAGACTGGCACCGGCCGAAGCCCGGCGAAGAATGACGGCCGAAATCGCCGACAAAGCAGCTTTGAGCATTGTTCTCAAACCACGCGGCGATAACTTCTGAAAATTCCACAAAGTCCAGCAGTTCAAATAAAATCAAAAACAGCGAATAGGCAGACACAGTGATGCATTTTACGAGAAGCCTTGCAGCAGCCTCCCGGCACGGGGTGGCACCGGCCTCCCCAGAAACCCAACCCTGCGGCCTGAACAGCCACGTCCTCGGACTCAGCAAACAGTTTACAGCCACCCCGAGCTGTACCCAGGTACGTACCAGAGCCCCGCGGCGGGCACGCGCGGCGCCCCCGCGGTGGTCCACTCACCTTTCTGCACGTTGGCCCGGTTCGGCTCGTACTGGGCGATAATTTCTCGCGCCTTCTGCGTGTCGGCGTACGGGTAGAGGATCTCGTTGAGCCGCGGGTCGCGCTGCTCGTGGTTGAGAAACTCAACCACCTGAGGGACGGTCATCTGGCCCTTCTTCCGGCCGCCGCCGCCGCACCTACCGGTGACGCGGGAGGGAGGGGCGGGTTAGAGGGAGGTGGGGCGATACAAGGAGGAGAAGTGCGGGACAGAGTGTGTGTGGAACAGAAAACGGTTACAATTGGGAATGTTATCCACGCATGTGGATAGCATCACTATGTGGATCTATGTAAATAGACCTACAAGTATGTAAGGAAAACGGAGAAAACAGGTTCATGAAACATCAACAATAACACGAAATATGGGACGCATTCTAAACACAACACAGAGGAAATGCAATGTGTGAAGACACCTAACGCCTTAGTAGACGCTTTAGCTTCGGCAGATCAGTGGTATTTGGGTCAAATAAAAGTTCTACCTCCTTTTTACGGCGCACAAATTTGCCACCAATCAGGTTATCCTCTGACCAACTATCGAACTCGTCAATTAGGAGCAAATGAGCTGTAATTCACGAGTTAAGCCGAAATAAGCCAATTCACGAGACGCCAAGTTTTCGCTGAACTACTGAATAGAGCGTTCCGTCGTCTATGAGCTTTGGGGGCCCGTGGGACGCTTCTGAGCAGGGAACTGAATGGAACCACCCGAAATAGAACACCTCCAAAGAAAGCTGGGACACTCCATTTCGCTATATGACATTGAGGGAGACAAAACAGTCCCCGGTCCACCATATTTCATGGCGCCAAAAAGAGTGCCTTTACTGATGACGCATGTAACGACTAACGAGACTGGTGCTTATGACAGTGTCATAGGGTCACTGTGCCAATTGATAGCACAGGGGCTCATTTTTCTGTGAAAGAGACCGCCCAAAAGCTACGAACTATTTCACTTTTCACGTCGTTTCTGGCTACGAAATCGCCTTTGAGCGTCTACTTAGACTTTAGAGCTTCAACCGTCGGTATCAAAAACCCTTCTGTTGGGGAAACCACAGAACAGAACAAAGTAATCTTGCATAGAGGACACCCATTATCCAGCACCGCTCCGTCCCGTGCCGCCATTGTCGCTGATCTCATTACTGTTCGGCGCTGACAGATTAGCCGAGTCGCTGCCACGGACGCTATCAGAGTCGGGCGACGCTCCCCCCCCCCCCCCCTGCTGCTGTCGCTGCGCCCCAACCACCGCTGCCGTCGGCCCCTCCCTCGCTCACAGGGACACCGCAGTCGACCCTGACCAGAATCCAGAGTCCGAGTCCGTCTGTTTTACCGTTGCCATGACAACGCCAACGGCGTGTCTCCCGCAGAGAGTAACCAGTGACCGGCGGAATGTCCGAGCCCCAGCGAGCGACATCGATTGCGGGGGCAATAAGATACGAGCGTCAGCACACGGCACACGGGGCGACCGCAAAAACACAGACGAATCTGTACTGACGACACTGGACAGATGCACAAAGTAGTACCATTTCAAACGTGGTGGACTGGACATTAATCACGGTTCGCAGGACAGTCGATCGCTGCTCCAAAACCACACCTATACCTAGCCCCATGTTGACTTCACGTGCAATTCAGCAGCCCGTGCTGCTGAAGTGTGCCACTGCCCGAGTCGGTCATATTCCGTGCACGCGATGGCCCCACACGAGGCGCGTTCCAGCAGACCTCCCAGCCTAACAAGCGCAACATCCCGCCCGCAGGGTAGCGTACCTTCGGGTAGCTCCAATCGGTAAGCCGTCAGTGGCCAGCCTGCCAGCCTGTCACAGACATCTAAACGCAATACGATTACGATGTCATTAAGCTTAAGTTATATCAAATAAACTGTACTATACGCACTGGAAACCCACTCAAAACGGATCACCGGGGTTTTACGGTCCCCAACTGCGCTGTCGTCAAAGTGGTGGCCGGAGGAATCTAGTAGCGAAACTCACAGCTCGTCGAAGATTTTCTCAATCTCTCGCCGGCCGGTGAGGTGCATGTAGAACGCCAGAAAGTGTTTCATGGTGAACTTGTCTTGCTCTATGGTGTCACTCTGCGGGAAAACGAGATACGTTTCTGTGAACAATTCGTAACGGTTTGGCAGGTCACTGGCGGTATCACTTGCACGTAAAAGTTCTATGAAACCTAATGCATTTGGTAACCATCGGTAGAAAAAACGACAGTAGGTACTCATATAATTAATTACCGAGCCCAATGTTTTCTAGCCACAAGCAAAATACCAACAAAGCAACCATAAAGTGGCGGATAACAATTATAATAAACGTCGGCTATCAAACTGACCAAAGGAGGCGTAAACATGCCTGCGGATTGCCGTATCGGAAACAGACTGCCGCGTTCCTTTAGGCCGTTTTAGCTCGCTTACCTTGACACAAGGGAGGCCACTGGACTCGAGGGCCTTTTCCACACGTTTCCTGTCCTCCTTGTTACTGGCGAAGGACTTCACGATGCTGAAACGCAGGAGAGACAAGTGTTAGACGGGCTAGACGGTAGGCAGGCTCGCAGTCAAAACGGTGGTGCGGGTGATAGACCGAAATTTTAAGACCGCATCTCTTATAAGATGCAGCCTCTAAATTCCGTGCTGAATTCACTAGCTACAGACGTTCGGTATTTATCGTCTTGGACGTGTTTTGCAAAGCATAGCAACGTAATATTCTCCCAAGGCATTGCAAATGCTTCTATTTCCCGCAGAGAACCAACGCGGGCGACTAAACAATGCCATTCGAAGAGGGAACCCGAGCGATCGAGGTTATTAGGAATCAACAAATAATTAACACATCGACCAAACAAACTTCACCACATAAATGCATCGACACAGGTGTTTGTAAACCGCGCCGGCTTGGGGATCGAGGAATAGCTGTCGGGTGAAAGTAATTAGCACACACGCCACACAAAACCCAATACGCCACTGCCTCAGTCCCGGTCCATTTATAATCTGTACACGGATTGCCCCCTACCAATGCCGACATAGATCATTACAGCATCAATAGCGCATAGAGAATGGGCGTCTAAGCCTAATGCGCACACCGTTCACCACACGCACGGTGTAACAAACGGTGTCGCAGCGTACGCGGCGAACAGGATTGACAAATGCGAGCCCACATTGCGGCTGCATGGTCGTTTGTTCGATGTGTCAGGGTACCTTTTGTATACCGGATGCTTGTTTCTAGTCATCAAAAGCAGAGGCACATGGTGCACATAAAGCGTCGCCGATTTGTAAATACAGCGTAACAGCGTTACGAGCGGAGCTGATGGACAACGGGGTGATTTGTTACACAGGAGCAACGAAATATGTCAATAACCAACATATTTTATCGCCTCGAGAACATAACAATCGCTACAATTGGCTACAATGTTATAATCGCTACCCGAATACAAGCTACCACCGTGCTCGTGAGCCCCGACCGACTGCCGAGTGCCGAGAGTCTCTGAGCAGCCGGGCCCTCTGTCAACCCCAACTCGAGTGACTGAGCGTGACCCATCCGCCACATACCGGGGACACTTCCCAGGACAGGTCGGCCTGTCTCTCCGGGCCGGAGCGGGCCGGTGTCGGACGGATGGCCGAGCCAGCCACAGCTGGCAGGGGGCCAGGGCGGGCGACCCGCGCAAGACGCCGGCCACGGTGGCCGTCTCAGTCACTAAGACTGGCCCCTAGCTCGGACACCCAAACAGCGGGCCGGGATCAGCACTGCAGGGCTGCCAGCCGCCGAGGGGCAGACGGGAGCGCCGCGTCCCCGGTCCCACTGCACTGCAGCATCAACAACAACACAGCTGGAACGGACTGCGCGCTCTTACACGACCCATTTGCCGCCGCCTCGCTCCTTCCGTATGGATCACAGTGCAAATGTCTGCAGTAAATATCGAACATCGAGCTATACGGAAAGGAAATACCGGAAAAATACGTCCGAAAAAGTAAACAGCCGAAGCGGGAGGGTTCGAGGCGCTTCCGAAAACAGATCGCCGAGATTTCACTAGAGTCGCTGCTTCCCGAATGTCATCGTTAGTTACCGGCGAAAGAGGAAATACAAGTGAAAAACATCCAGGAAAAGAGCCAACGGGACAGAACTGCAAACATAAACAGAGAGCGATAACAAACTACTAAATTTGAAAATGTCAGTAGCCCGGGAACTTGGTGCTCACGTTCGTGATGTTGTTTACCCGATGACGTTTCGTGAAAATCCACCAGGCTCTATGTTGCAGCAAAATACGAACTCCAACAGAGACCCGGCCCACCGCGGGGCGACGGAGAACTGACAGAACCCGCCCCCAGCAATGTCAACCTTATTCCATATCTGGCTGCAGGTAATCAACATTCACCAAGTCAAAACATAATCATCAGGTGTCCACTTATCTTGCAAAAAAGAAACACCAATCGGCACGGCACGCCAAACGTCCAGCTTTCATATAAAAACGGTCCAATGCGAGCTGCCTCGGTGACGCGGGGGTACAACAACCACCGTCATACTGCACCCGAATTTCGTGCACGTGTTGCATGTTGGTGGCCGGCGCGCTCGGAGCTGGCGCACATCCGTGTCAGAGCGCTGGGCAATTCGAGCAGCGCCGTCTTGTCGTGTCAGCTCGCCGTGTCTCGGTAGATTTCACCGACGCTAAATATAGCCGTCATCCATACCGTTCAGCCATCTACGCCACCCCTTGACAGCGAGCGGAATGGACAGAACGAACAGAACGAACGGAACAGAGAAAATGAACGTTAGTCGGATCGATGGAACACCGCCGTTCCCCCAACTGCACTGCGGAAACCTCACCTAGTCATCTCTCGATGACTCGTCTGGCGACCCACCGCGGCCCGATCGGACCGAATGACAAAGTTCCAGGCGGGGGCGGCCGTGTGACCGTCTGACTCATGGTCTCTCGGCTGGACAGTAACAGCGGCACATCTGTCTTCACCGGGGAGCCCGGGTCACACGAGACGGACGTCCTCTGGCGCCCTTCCAGGCCCGGCGCGCGACGGCCGCGCCCGCGAGCCGTGACGACTGCAGGTGATGTCCCAGCCATGACACATAGCAGCGGGTCCTTCCCGACTCGCTCTCATATTTGTCCTCCCAGATGTCAGCGCGATCCTCAATTAACCAGTCTCGCCGAAAGCAGTTCACACCCAACACTCAAGTCCCTCGCCTACGCAGGCAGTGATACCGCTCAAAGGCCGTAGCCGCCTTCGATCCTGGACAGGCACGGCATTAAGCGTGGCCAAATCAGATGGGAGGCCGCCCCCGGCCGACGTCAGAGGTCACCCGTGTGATGTGACCCGTGTCAAAGGTCACGGAGAGACCGCAGGACGCACCGCCTCCTGTCCGCTCGAAGGGACGGAGACCGGCGATGATTACTAAGGCAAAAACTCCTGCTACAGAGCTCACCGAAATTCATTTCTCAAATGTAGTGGAGCTCAGTACCAGGGGCGGATCCAAGGGGGGGGGGGTCACATGGGTCATGGCCCCCCCCCCTTGAGGCCCGGGGGCCCAAAGACCTTCCAGGGGCACCACCGGCCTATCAGGGGTATCACAGTCCTGACAGGGGCACCACAGGACCGCCAGGGGCACCACAGGCCTAGCAGGGACACCACGGGCCTGGTGCCCCTGGGCCCTGACAGGACTGTAACGCCCCTGACAAGCCTGAAGTGTCCCCGGCAGGCACGTGGTGCCCCTGACAGGCCTGAGGCGCCCCTGCAAGGCCGGTGGTGCCCCTGGCAGGCCTGTGGTGTCCATGGCAGGCCTGTGGTGCCCTTGCTAGGCCTCTGGTGCCCCTGACAGGCTTGTAATGCCCCTGGAAGGACTGTGGTGCCCCTGGGCCCTGACAAGCCTGAGGTGCCCCTGACAGGCCAGAGGTGCCCTTGCTAGGCCTGTGGTGCCCTTGGCAGGCCTCTGGTGCCCCTGACAGGCTTGCGGTGCCCTTGAAAGGACTGTGGTGTTCCTGGGCCCTGACAAGCCTGAGGTGCCCCTGACAGGCCCGTGGTGCCCTTGTTAGGCCTGTGGTGCCCCTGGCAGGCCTCTGGTGCCCTTGCTAGACCGCTGGTGCCCCTGGCAGGCCTCTGGTGCCCTTGCTAGGCCGCTGGTGCCCCTGGCAGACCTCTGGTGCCCCTGCGCCCGGAGAGGACTGGTGCCCCTGAAAAGTCTGAAGTGCCCCTCGGCAGGCCCGTCGTGCCCCTGACAGGCCCAAGGTGCCCCTGCGAGGCCGGTGGTGCCCCTGGCAGGCCTCTGGTGCCCCTGGCAGGTCTGTGGTGCCCCTGGCAGGTCTGTGGCGCCCCTGGCAGACCTGTGTTGACTGGTGCCCCTGCTAGGTCGCTGGTGCCCCTCACAGACCTGTGGTGCCCCTGGGCCTTGACAAGCTTGAGATGCCTGGCTATGACAGGCTCGTGGTGCCCCTGATAGACCAGTGGTGCCCTTGCTAGGCCTGTAGTGCCCCTGGCAGGCCTCTGGTGCCCCTGCTACCCCTGCGCCCTGAGAGGACTATGGTGCCCCTGAAAAGCCTGAAGTGCCTCTCGACAGGCCCGTGGTGCCCCTGGGCCCTGACAGGCCCAAGTTACCCCTGCGAGGTCGGTGGTGCTCCTGGCAGGCCTCTGGTGCCCCTGGCAAGTCTGTGGTGCCCCTGGCAGGCCTGTGTTGACTGGTGCCCCTGCTAGGCCGCTGGTGCCCCTCACAGGCCTGCGGTGCCCCTGGAAGGACTGTGGTGCCCCTGCCCCTAGGGGTGCTCATGGGCCCAACAGGCCCGTTGTGCCCCTGACAGGCCTGTCGTGTATACTTGCTAGACCTGTGGTGCCCCTGCTTCCTGGCAGGCCTGTGGTGCCCCTGGCGGGCCTGTGGCGCCCCTACAAGGCCGTAGGTGCCCCTGACAGGTTTGTGGTGTCCCTGGAAGGACTTTGGTGCCCCTGACAAGCCTGAAGTGTCAAGGACAGACCCTTTAGACGCCAGGGTCAAGTTCGTCGGACTGACAACGATTTGCTTACCTGATAACGTTCCTGGTAAGTACTCATTACTCAGCGTCCACAACATACCGGGTGGCCCAGAAAAAACGTTCCCAATTTTAAATCAATATTTCTCAGAAAGTGATAAAGATACAACATTGAAACTTCCAATAGTCAATGCGACATATATTTTCAGTGAATGGTACGATTTTTATGTTATTCGGTTAATTACTGTTTAAACGGTTCGTGTTTCTAGCATGCCATGTAAAAATCACTTTTTTGCTCTGATGTTTACCAAAAATGTGAGTGAACGGGCCACTTCCATCTCGGCACCACGGCCTACAGCCATGACTGCTACTGGCAACTATACTATAAATTGGTGGTTCAGGCCTCAGGGTGACACATTCCTTCTAGCTTTTTTCCTTATTCGGTCGATTTACTACTTGATCTTCTTGAAGGGAGGGCGATCAGCAGTAACCCATACACCGTGCCACTAGGCTTCGCCTCGAAACAGGACCTGTGTTGAAACGA